ATATTGTTTGCCTGGATTACCCTGTTGGAGCCACAAGGCAGAGGCTTCAACGTTGGGGTTGCTATCCCAAGAATCTCTATGATGCCCACACTAGGGGTGTGGGTGGCAGGGATCTCGTCTGGTTGCTTCTGTGGAGAGGCCCTGGGTCTGGGGCAAAGTCTCCCTAGAAGGCTCACTCACTCTCTTGCAGGACCAGTTGGAATGCACAGGGGTTCCCCTTGCTCTCTACTCTCTGATTTGGTCCTGCTGCAGAAAATGCGCGGGTAGGCTAACAGTCAGCTCTGTGGCACTGTGGCTGCAGGACTCCATGTCCACCTTTCCTGTGTGCTGCCTTTCTGTCCTTACCCTCTGCCAGGGGGGTTATGTTGCCTGGTCCCTGGGTAGCGCGGGAAAGAGGTAGGTTGAGTGTTCTCAATCCCAGATCCCGGGCCCAGATCTCTCTGCCAGAAGCAGCCTGGCGGTAGAACCTATGTTTGCTGATTCTGAGAGAGTACCAGGTAGTGTTGAGTGTCCTCAGATCCAGAGCTTGGGTTTCTCTGCCAGGGGCCACTGGGTGAGGTGGAGAGGAGGTGCTGTGTTCTGTGGCGGGCTGCCTCTCTGTCCTTCCCCTCTGACCTTCCCCTCCGCTAGGGCAAGCTTATGGAGGTGCTCTCAGGGGAGTGCCAGAAGGGGTTGGGACTTCTCAATCCGAGATCCTCAGCTGGGGTTTCTCTGCCACGGGTCAGGGGGCCACTGGTGATAGGACTTGGTGCTAGACCTTATTGTGCTGGACCCAGGAGAGTGTCAGGACATGTTGAATGACCACAGTCCCAGGTCCCCAGCTGAAGTTTGTTTGCTAGGAGCAGCTGGCAGCACTGGGGTCCGGGCGTTGTGAATCTGCTGTGTGCCTCTCCCTCTGCGCTGCTGCGGCAGGGTTATGGCGGCGTTCTGGTTCTCAGGGGAAGTGCCTGAAAGGATTGGGTTTTCTCAGCCTCGATCTCAGTTGTTTTTTTTTTTTTTTTTTGGTGAGAGCTGCAGCTCTCGCTGGGGCTGCGGTACAGACAGTGGGGTCTGTGGCAGATTCTCCTGGACACCTCCTGCCTCCTCCAGAGAGGGAGTAAGGTTTTGGGTGCAAGGAAGTGCCTGGGGATCACCTCTCGGGGTGTCTCCTCCCGGTGGAGTCTGTCATGACCTGATTCTAGATGGACTCAGATCATAGTTAGTCTCTTTCTTCTTGGAAGTCTAGATAACTCTGTTCTGGGTTGATCAGCCCCTTCACTCACCAATTTCCGCGTTGTGGGTCCTCTCCCCTTCAGCTAAGCTGCACACTAGCCGCCGCCATCTTGGAAGTTCTCTCGCTTTGTATGTTCCTTTACCTAGCTAATTGGAGTTGACTTCCCATGGCAATAGGAGTTCATAAAGTCCATATCAAAGTCAGTTTTTTACAGGGCCTTTCTCAGAGAGATGAACTACATTCCTTGAGCAGACTGAAATATGTTTTTCACTAGATACTGCCTTCGTTTTCTATCTCAGGTCTTGTACTAGTTTATTTTCATTTCTTCCTCTCCTCTTCATTGATGTCTCTCTACATCCCACTTCTTTCAAATCTGCCTGAAACATGACTCCTTACTCATCTTCATTCTGTGAATTATTGAATTGAAGTGTGTGTATGAGTGTGTATGTGTGTATATGTGTGTGTGTGTGTGTGAATTCCCTTCTATTTTATATAATTATGGAAATATACCATTTCTTGTTCATTATGTCAAATTAAAAATTCATGACTTTCCCATATTTATGTTCTTTTAAATATAAAACGTCTGCATATGTCATAGCTTATAAGATATTTTAAACTTAAATCTTTCCGGTAATAACTTTTGGAATTACTGCCTATGAATACAAAAACAAACATGTTCCTTATTCAGTATATATTTCTTAGCTTTCTATCAATCTTACTTCAAAAAACCATATTTCTTTCTTTACATTTTTATAAATTTTTATTTTATTGTATTAACAGTTCTTTTATGTCATGTGAATGTGATATAATAAACTTTTGATTGTCACTATTTTCTCATAAATTACACATAACTTCAAATTTAAATTCTCTATAATTGGAAGCAAAAAGTGATACAGTCCATAATTACAGAAGAAAAATTTCTACTGTTTATAAACACAATAAAAAAGGCTTTCTACAGTAATTCATACTAAACACTGACAAGTTCGGTGTACATTTTTTATAGTTATTCAAACACATAAAATAAGTAACCCCTGAACTTGACATTCTTGAGACTTTACAAAACTCTAGAAGATAATGATGTGTTTTAAATGTGGCATCTAGCCACATTTCTTTTATGAAATAAGTTTCTTCAATTAAACTAGAGAACTGAAAACAGTTCAGATGTTTATTTGATGTGATAGCCTTATATGTCAAAGTTATGGCAAACAATCCAGCTAACACAAAGAAATAAAGAGTAGCTTGAGGGCATCTTTTCTGATTTTATGAGTATAATAAATATTCCTTTGTTAAAATCTAGTGTTGTCTGTTTATTGAAAGTCCACTAGCTAATGAATGGACACTGAAAACTCTGCTCCAATTGCTCAGTTGGTTAGTGACAGAGTCTCCACTCAGGTGAATTCTGAGGATATATAGAGATTTTTTTTAAATCTCAAATAAAACAGAAGTTTAAAAAAAAAACAAAAAAAAAAACCATTTTGTCCTTCAGTACAATTTTGGGTTGTTGTTTTGTTTGTTTGTTTGTTAAATGATCCTTTTTTAATTTTAAAATATTAATTACAGTTTATTCACTTTGCATCCCAGCTGTAGCCCTCTCCTTCATTCTCTCTCAATTCCACTCTTCCTCTGTCATCTCCTCCCATACCCCTCTCCAAGTCGACTGATAGGGGAGGTCCTCCTCTTCTTCCATCTGACCCTAGCCTATCAGATCTCATCAAAACTGGTTGTAATGTCTTCCTCTGTGGCCTGGTAAGGCTGCCCCCCTGCCTCAGAGGGAGGTAATCAAAGAGCCAGCCACTGAGTTTATGTCAGAAACCGTCTCTGTTCCCCGGCTACATTTGTGTAGGGGTTCTAGGAGATCTCCATGCATGGTCCTTGGTTTGAGTGTCAGTCTCAGAAAAGACCACTGGGCCTAGATTTCTTGGTTCTGTTGCTCTACTTGTGGAGTTCCTGTCCCCTCCAGTTCTTTCTATCTCCCCCTTCTTTCATAAGAATCCCAGCACTCTGCGCAAAGTTTGGTTATGAGCTTCAGCATCTGCTTTGATACCATGCTGGGTAGAGTCTTTCAGAGGTCCTCTGTGGTAGGCTGCTGTCCTGTTCCCTGTTTTCTCCCTTCTCTGATATCCATCTCATTTGCCTTTCTGAGTGAGGGATTGATCATCTTACCCAGGATCCTCTTTCTTGCGGGTGAGGACAAAAAAGTGATTGCATTTCTTATTGTTCCTTTCTGGGATTTCCATGTTGATCTGCCAGTTTTAACTTCTGACAAAAGTCTCTCCAATGTTAAGACAGTTTGTCATACATGTTGGCTGTCATTTTCTTGCAGACAACATATCATGGGTCATAGCAGTATCCACAGGAAATATTAGTTTCATCTATTGTTTACAGAGAAGCAATGAACTAAGAGTGCATATGAGACTCTGCCCTGCTGCCCTGATGAGGTGCAGGGCTCAGTCCCCCCTGTGTTGCAGTCCATAAGGGACATGGCAACTTCTGTCACTCTCATGACTCCAGGGCCAGAAGGTCAGCCTGCCATAGGTACACCTCTGCTTCACCCTTGAACCACACACAAGTAGTGAGGACAGCCCTCCCATGCTCATATACTCAGGGCTGGCTCATCCGCCATGACCATGAGGGTCAGCTCTTCTATGCTGCCCAGGTGAGATGCAGAAAATTCTCTCCTAAGTACAGCAGCAGGTTAGAAGACAGGGCCAAAAATGATGGGGGTAAAAGGAAGTGGGACCTTTCCCTCGTAGATGGCCACCATAAAGCAGACAAGAGACAGGGTCAGAACTCCAATGGTTATGCCCTCTGGTTGTCTTACCCAGAACCCCTACATCCAAGACCAGATCTAGTATGCTGCCCAGGCAAGGCTCAGGGCCCTCTTTACCAAGTGATGCAGCTGCTGAGAGGAAGGGCCAGCTCCCCTGTTTCCATGACCCCAACCCCAGGTCTTCACTGGCCCCAGGTGACAAGGAGCCAGTGGGAAGAAAGGTATCTCACCCTTGTCCATGCCACCGCATGGGAAATGAGTGGTAGGGCCACTCATACTCTCAGGGCTGGCTCACCAGCAACCCCTGCAATGGGGTCAGCTCTCCTGTTCTCATGCCCTCAAGGCCAGCTCCACATGGGTGAGGCCAGTTCTACAAAGCCCTCAGACATCAACATGTTCCCAGCCCAAGCCAGGAACATCTGTTTGGCTTTTGGTGGTAACAGACACCTACTGCCACAGCACCATAAATCCAGATGTGGTCCCTGGTGGCAGTGCAGGCCAGGACCCCCGCCATGGTCTCAGTTTATCACTGGCTACTGAAATCAGGCTGTTGCTCAATACCCTCAAGTCTCCAGCTCTGCTTTCCTCATTGAGCCCACAGCCTTCTGTTCATCCTTCTCTTCCATTTCTCCACCAATTACTTGCTCTTCTTGGTAGCACCCTCCCAGGATCCCTGAGTGTCTGGGGTCATCTCAGAAGTGATTGCAGGAGTGCTAGGACACAATGTGCATTATGGCACCTGGCTGGCGTCATCTTGGGCATGGTCTGTTCTCCTCAAGCCTGCACACTGAACACTGGTGTTCATCTCATGCTAGCTCCTGTCTGAGCTCACTCCTTACCAGGGCCCAATCAAGTGGCTCCATGTGTGAGTCTTCTGTGTCGGCCTCACTTCTACTTGGACCCTGCAGTCCCAGGCAGGAATTTTTTCTAGTCTCCGACTTGTTCCCCACCCTGGGAGTCCATCAAGATCTGTGCAGAGGTGGACTGGTGATTGTTTCAGACTCGCTTTTTTCAGAGAATGTTAGGCTACTAATCATTAAGACATTCACAGGTCAGAGCACTGAGCCTAGACATATTCTCTCTCGTCTCTAACACCTACTGATACACACGTGACTCAGTAGCCACACCTGCAACACCTCTAGAGGCAGCATCTCCAAAAATCTCTCCTCGTAACTTGGTCTATATTTTGGTTTTGTTTTTATTTGAGGGGGGGAGGTGTTTTTCTTTTTCTTTTTATAGCATTAATTTCTATTTCATATATAGTACATTTTACCTATTTATTATATGTTATAATATATAATATTATACTATATATTATATATTATATGCATTATATAATATATAGTATACATATATATAATACCCATAATTTCTAGATTATATAAATTATATAAGCAATAACTAATCAGATTTATTTTTTTATTTGTTTTGCTCACTGATACATCTCAATCATAATGATATCTCCTTTACATTATGGACTCAAAATAGTTAATTTTTCTACAGGCAAATGATTAGACAGCACCTGATTCTGAGCTAAATAATGTAAATATGTTATTTTCTAGGAATATTGCCCAGAATATATTAATAGAGGGAGAGAAATGGACCCTATTTAAGCAGTTAAAATAAAAAGCAAAAATCAGAATGACAGAACTACTAAAAATAAAAATACAATAATCCAAAGTGGAATCGTGTGTTATCCCCTGTCTCCTGGTATAATTAACAACAGTAATATTTTCCTACGCAATATTTTCTTTCAACTAATTGATTGATAGTGAAAGATGTTCTTCACATCTTTCACTATCAATTAGTTGAAAGAAAGTATTGTGTTTGAGAGCAAATCAGAAAGCTACAAAAGTCTTTATATTCTTAAACTCAGAAACTCACATTCATCTATGTTTCTAAATAATCTATAAGATGAAATACTGGTATTCTCTTTGGGTTGCACAGATCTTATTTTATGTCCTCTTTACACAATGCTGAATCTCAACTGTAACTTCTCTTTACTTTGAAAGACAGCACAGTGGGATCTGCCTCATAGATGCCCATGTAAGAAGATGAACACTTCGAATTGCTGGAGATGTTTACATTTAGGACTCCGTCAAATATTTCACTTAGCATGGCTCTTTCATTTTACCCCTTACCCTTTCAAACTAGCTTGGTGTATTTTTATGGCCTGGAGGAAATATTAGCTTCACATAAGTTTTAGACAGATTTGTCAGTGAAAAATATGCCATAGAAGTCCCAGAACTGGCTGATTCTGAATCTCTTTAGTCTCTGAAATCTGACAGAACTCAAGTTCAAATAAATGAGAATACAGGCACAGTTTGCTTTATAGGGAATAACTTAGAAGCTGACCTCTGTCTAGAGCTTCTGTGATAACTAGGAACAATGAAGTATAAAATAGGCACTCAGGAATTTCACTTTCTAGAGTTCAGCTAAGTAAAGTATACCAAATAAGTTTATAAATGAATGCATTTCATACACATAAAAGTACAATTTATTCAATGAACAGTGTCTAGTATACACAGGAACTCTCTCTGTTCACAGACTGGGAAAATGAGTAAGAAACAAACCTGATTTGAAAGAACATACTACTTTGTACAGCCAAAACCAAACTCAGCTTCAGAGAAAACAAGAAAGAGTGATTATATAATCTTAATAGCAGAAATGAATAATGGAATTTTGAACTTAACATATTGAAGATCTTTGACATTTTTCTACTCAAAGTAAATGAGTATCAAAGAGAATAATAAGCAAAAACCATGCCAGAATATAAACATTATTACCATTGTCCTTTCAAATCCATGTAGAGAAACTAATTCATAACAGTGTGAAAACATGGTGTGTTGGGAAATGGTTTCCATGAGGGCTCTGTGGTCATGGATGGCACAAATACCATTACAGAAGAAGCTCTGCTCCCTCTAAGATGTGAATAGACACAGATGATTTCATTTAATAGGTAAGAAATGAATGTACTTGTCCCTTGAGTATGGACCGAGTAGCAACTAGGACTTCTTTGTCTTTCCACATTCATACAATTGGAGATTGTTACACAGTGGGCAGGTTTTCCCATTATAATTAATGTAATATGGTTTCTCAATGGGCAGGACAGGAGTTCCATTTTCCATGTTATTCCATCGGTACATCGGTCAAGTTGACAATCAATACTAACCTTCACATGGTTAACTCTTGTCAGATGAAACTAGTCAGTAGTGTTTTCTTTTTATTCTGAGGACTGATTCTTTGTTGTGTTTATTGTTTCCTATGCTGTGTGAAATCATAATTGCATGATGAAGTAATTTACATATTTAGTGAAATCCCTATCAAAGTTGCTAAAAAAAAATGCTAAACTTCATGTGGAAACCAGAAGTTACCCAAGTAGAGGGAGAAATTCCAAAGAAAAGATCAATATTGTAAAAGCTATGATACTTGATTTCAAATTATATTTCAGAGTCATAGTAATAAAAACAGTATGTCACTGTACCAGATATACAAACTAGAATTTGAACAAGGCAATCAAAAATAAATCCACATTGCTGTAGCCATCTTGTTTTGTGCAGTCGCCAAAATATACAATAGAGAAAAAGCAATCTCTCCAACCAATAATGATAGGAATCTTGGAAACCCCAATGATAAAAAAAAGTAGAATTCTATTTCTCATCCCATATATAAATCAAGTCTAATTTAATCATAATCTTCAGTTTCAGAATCCGAAGTTGATACTAATAGAGAAAAGAAAATGAAAAACATTTAAGTTTGCAGGCATAGAAAATGGTTTTCTGAATATGACCCCAATAAGCAAGGAAATAATTGCATAGATTGACTAACAGCATTAAAGAAGAACAGCATACTTCTTCACACCAGAGGAAACAAACCCCACAATGACACAATGAAAGAGTCTTCAAAATGGATATATATATATATATATATGTTAGTCAATTATTTGACAAGATATAAGTATCTAGGATATGTAAATGACTAAAAATTTAAATGTTATAAAACCAAATAATTCAGCACATGAAAAAATAAAAAGATTGTTTTAAAAGAAGCACAAATAACCAATAAACATATTAAAAATATTCAACATCCTTAGACCTCAGAAAAATATAAACCAAACTACAGTGAGATTCATACTAGTCAATTACAATTGCCTTCAAGAGAAATGAAGAAAAAAAAAAGTTAGCAAGGATACATTGTAAAAGGAAATATTAAACACTATTTGGAGAACTGAATAAGTGCACATACTGTAGAAATCATTATGAGAGTCTTATCAACTTAAAAGTAGAATTTCTTTATACTTTAACTATCTCACATGTAGATAAATACCTGAGGAGACCCTTGCATCTCTCTTTACAACAGCCACATTTTGGAATTAGTGCAGGTGTCCATCAACATCTGATAGACTCTTTTCCTTTTTTATATTAACTACAGTTTATTTACTTTGTATTCCAGCTGGAACCCTCTCCCTCATTTCCTCCCAACCCTCACTCTCTCTCCCTCATCTCCTCCCTGCTCCTCTCTAAGTCCACTGATAGAGGAGGTCCTCATCTCCTTCCATCTGACCCTAGCTTATCAGGTCTCATCAGGACTCTTTTCTAAATTTAGGATATAAAAACAATGTAATGTTCAACCATTAAAAAAAAATCACACCATTTCCAGGAAAACAAATGGAACTGGAATGGTTAAACCAAATAAGTTCAACTCAGAAGGACAGACATTGCATATTGTCTTGCATTTCCACAATGGAGACATAAAATATGAAGCTTGAAAGCAAAGTAGGGACTGTCTGAGCAAAGCTGAGACCACGGAGAAGGAAGAAAAGATAGAGAGTGGTGAAGAAATCAAAGAGTGTGCTACATATTGTGCCCAGGAATAACTTGCCAATACAAAACAATCTCATTTTTTTAACGAGATGGGGAAAGCAAAGGGGCTTGGAGTTTGATGTCTGTAGAGGTGGAAAGGATCTGGGAGGATTTGGCAGAGGAAAAAAGAAAACATGATCATAATATACTGTATGAATAAAATGTTTTACAAAAAGAACAGTGAATATAGACTAATAAATGAAAATATATTTATGAATCAATGAACCTTGTAATTATGTTTGTTAGCATATATAATTTTTTTTCAAAATAATGTATTCATCTTAACATATACATGATATACTTTGATCATACTAACTTCCTTGTTTGCCTCTATCTGACCCAGTTCTCCTTTTAGCACCTGTTCTTTCCCTGACCTACCTTCATGCCATTAAATTTTTTTGTCTTATTTGTTTGTTTATTTATTATTTATTTCAGTTCATTCACTCTGTATCTTGGTTGTAGCTTCACCCCTCGAGTCCTCCCAGTCTCACCCTTCCTCCCTCTTCTCCCTCTATGGCCCTCCCCTAGTCCACTGACAGAGGAGGTCTTCCTCTCCTACTATCAGATTCTATCCTATCACTTCTCATCAGTACTGGCTGCATACTCTTCCTTTGTGGCCCAGCAAGACTGGTGGCCAAGAGGGAGGTGACCAAACAGCCAGCCGCTGAGTCCATGTCAGACACAGCTTCTGCTCTCCTTACTCTGGACACCCGGATAGAGACTGAGCTGCCTGTGAACTACAATGGGAACAGGGAATCTAAGTCCTCTCTATGCATGGTTCTTGGTTAGAGCATCTGTCTCTGCAGGGCCCCCTGGGCCCAGATGTTTTTGGCTCAGTTGGTCTCCTTGGATAGCGCCTGTCACCTCCAGGTCTTTCTTTCGCCCCCTACTTCCATTAAAAAAAAAAAAATCTTAAATTTACATCCCAAACATAAGTTAAACATTGACTGTAATTTTTAGTCTTGTGCTATATGGCAGTTTCCTCCAAGGTTAAAACATTCCGTCTCCAAGGGAAGCTCCTTAAGGCAGAATGAAAATAATTTAAAATAGTTTTAAGAAGTCCTTGAGTTCCCGTTCCCTCCAGCTCTTACTATTTCCCACTTCTTACATAAAATTCCATTCACTCTGCCCATCAGTTGGCCATAGTAATGGGAAGAGGGACTGCCTCTGACATAATCTGATTGGCCTGCTCTTTGATCACTTCCCCCTGGGGGGGGGAGCAGCCTTACCAGGCCACAGTAGAGGACAATGCAGCCACTTTTGACGAGAACTGATAGACTAAGATCA